AATTTTGAAAATAAGGAACTTAAATAATTTTTTCAAGCAAAAAAATATTTTTTTATAAAATTAAAATTAAATTTTAATAAAATAAAATTAGGTAGTTGGGTTGGTGGACCAACTCGGCCCACTACGGTTCAACCCGCATGAGCCGGATTGAAATCTGATCCGCATAAAAAAAAATACAATTTTTCAAACCCAACCCGACTCGAACCTGTGGTAAATCGGGTTGAACCGCAGGTTGTGACCCATTTTGAGAGCTCTAATCTCAATCAATGTTGTCAATATCATGAGTAAACTATCAAACTCGCTCTATCCTGCGAGTAGGGAGGAGGCTGCTAGCTAATGCGAGCATAGGATCAAGGTGGTGCAGTTTGCGATGAGAATGGGATGCTGCTCGCCAAAATGAGGGATCCTCGCAGATGCTGCCTTCAAAGTCACGCCCTTTGTTCCAGTCACTCTACTGTCCTGCTATCTCTTTTGCTTGTGCTGTTCTGCTCTCTCTTTGATTCTTCTACTGTTCTCCTCACTCTGTTTTTTCTTCAAATTCTAAAGAACAGAGGACTATTTTTAGCTGTAAACAGGATCCCACTACCTAAGACTTATTATGGGTTATTTTTTTTTCATCTATATTATTTTTAATGCATGGACACTTTTATGAAAATAAATTTTTGTATATTTGTAAGTCATATCAGTTGAGTTACGATCTTTTATCCCCTTTTTGATCCTCTTACTAGACTTGAGTTTGATAAAATTGATATCAGTACCTCATAGGATTAGGTTTTGACTCTTCACTGGGATGCAAATACACTAGAATGACCGAAAAATATTGCAAAATGTGACGATTATAATTTTAAATTAGACATCTAATGACTTGAACATCACTGTTTGGGGAAAATTTAGGGGCTAATTTTTTGCATTGTGGAACTTGAACTAGGTATAATCCATATGTTCAGGCAAGGAGCAGGATAGATCAGCTTAAGCGTTTGGGTCATAGCGTAGACAAGGTTTGGAGCTCATTTTCGTATCTCTTGAATATTCCAATTCAAGTGCATGAAATTAGTGTAGATGTACTGTTTAAGTTTCTTATAATTATGGTCATTGTTTTCAGGTTGAGTTTATATTAATGGGTGGTACCTTCATGTCTCTTCCAGCTGATTACCGTGATTACTTTATAAGAAATCTTCACGATGCTTTGTCTGGGCATACTTCTGTCAATGTGGAAGAGGCAGTAGCTTACTCTGAGCATGGAGCAACCAAATGTATTGGCATGACAATTGAAACGTAAGTTGTCTTTTAAGTAATTACATCTGCATTAAATGTGAATGTTTTGAGCCTTGGTCTGCTGGTCATGTGCAGTTGTAAATGAATGATGTTCATTTGTCTTTTCTTTTGGTTAATATAAATAATACATCTTTTGCAGATCAACAATTTTTTGTGCAGCGATTAAAATGATATACTTAATATGAAAAGTTATCACTCAGACAGACTGTGTTATGAAATTTCTAGGGTGTTTCTGCATTTCTTGTTTGAGCATATCTGTAATTAAGTTAGTGGAAACATATTGGGAAATCTACATGGCACTTGAAGAGTTAGAGAAGATGAAGAGTCTTATATTTTTTCACTTAGAAAGCCTAATACAACTTACTACTGTATTTATAGGAGACAGTAGTTTTGAAATGTAAAAGGGCGGAAAACCCCTAACAAAGCCCTAACATAAATATTAATAATAATAAAGGCACTATACTTCAACACTCCCCCTCAAGCTGGAGCATATATATCATATGCACCAAGCTTGGAACATATAAATTGAATTCTAGGCCCCCTTAGAGATTTGGTGAGAATGTCTGCGAGTTGTTTATTAGAGTTGACAAACTCAGTAACAAGATCCTTTGACAATAACTTCTCTCTAATAAAATGACAATCAATCTCTATGTGTTTTGTTCTTTCATGAAACACTGGATTGGAGGCAATGTGAAGGGCGGCTTGATTGTCACAGTACAACTTCATCTGCTCATTTTCACAAAATTTCAACTTTTGAAGGAGTTGTCTAATCCACACAAGTTCACATGTAGTTAGAGCCATAGATCGATACTCAGCTTCAACACTAGATCGAGCAACAACACTTTGTTTCTTACTTTTCCAAGATACAAGGTTCCCTCCAAGTAAAACACAATATCCTGTGGTAGATCTTTTGTCAATTGGACAACTAGCCCAATCTGCATCACAATATCCCTCAACTTGAGTACTTCCCTTGTCCTCATACAACAATCCTTGTCCTGGGTTCCCTTTTACATATCTGAGAATGCAAATCACTGCATTCCAATGATCAACATGTGGATTTTGCATAAATTGACTCACAACTCCCACCGGATAAGAAAGATCAGGTCTTGTTATGGTAAGATAGATAAGTTTTCCAACAAGCCTTCTATATCTGGGTTTAAGAAAAGTTCACCTTGGTCTTTCATTAACTTTTGATTAGAGTCCATAGGACTATCAATAGGCTTGCAATTTGTCAGGCTTGTTTCCTCCAAAATATCAAGAGCATATTTTCTTTGTGAAATGATGACACCTTCCTTTGGTTGTGCCACTTCAATACCAAGGAAATATTTTAGTCGACCCAGATCTTTGGTTTGAAAGTGGTTGAACAAATGATTCTTTAATTGAGCAATTCTAGTGACGTCATTTCATGTAATGACAATATCATCAACATATACCATAAGATAAACACATTTATTAGGAGAAGAGTGACTATAAAATACTGAATGATCCGTCTCACATTGTTTCAATCCAAAATTCTGCACAACCCGACTAAATTTACCAAACCAAGCTCGAGGTCATTGCTTCAAGCCATAGAGGAAACAATGTAATTTACAAACTAACCCAGACTCCTCTGAGCAACAAACCCAGGAGGTTGCTCCATGTATATCTCTTCCTCTAGATCACCATGAAGAAAGACATTTTTAATGTCCAATTGGTAAAGGGGCCATTGACGGATGGCAGCCATAGCAAGCAAAATACGACAGTACTGGTTTTAGCCACAGGAGAAAAGGTATCACAATAGTCGAGGCCATAGACTTGAGTATATCCCTTAGCTACCAAACGAGCTTTGAGACGATCGATTTCACCAGTAGGACCAACCTCAATAGCATAGACCCATCTACAATCAACATGCTTCTTACCAGGAGGAAGAGGAACAAGGTCCCAATTGCCATTGTGTTCAAGTGCCTGCATTTCATCAATCATGGCTTGTCGCCATCCAGGATGTCCAAGTGCCTCATGAACATTATTAGGAACCTTAATGGAAGATAAGGAAGAAACAAGAGAAATATGGAGGAGACAAACGATGATAACTCAAAAAGTTATAAACAGGATAAGGATTACGAGTAGAGCGAATACCTTTCCGAAGGACAATGGGCCAATTATTATCTGAGTAAAGAGAGGGTGAAGAGGGTGAAGGATCCATGGTTTGGGAATCTGATGCTGGAGGATCTGAGTCTCGAGGATCTTCAGTGTTCTGAGTTTGAGATTGTGTCCGACGTTGATATGTGAGAAGAGGTGGAGGAACAATGTCATTTGCATTTTGAGGTTGAGGTAAAGAAGCAGGAGTAACCAAGGGATCACATGATGGTAGATGAAACATTTGTTGAACATATGAACGGTCCTCCATGGAGGACAAGAAAAACGGTGTATCCTCAAAGAATGTGACATCAACAAACATATAATACCTCTTGGTTGAGGGAGAATAACATTTATACCCTTTCTGAAGGCGAGAGTATCCCAAAAAGACACACTTAATAGCTTTTGCAGAGAGTTTATCAAGACGTGGGGAAACATTATGAACAAAACAAGTACACCCAAATATACGAGGAGAGACATGGTAAAGAGGGTCATTTGGAAAAATGACAGAGTGAGGGACTTTATTCCCAATAGAGAAAGAAGGCATCCTATTGATCAGAAAACAGGTAGTAAGGACTGCATCACTCCAATGATGAACAGGAACATTAGTATTCAACATCAGGGAGCGTGCAGTTTCAATGAGATGTCTATTCTTTCTCTCTGCAATGCCATTTTGTTGTGGAGTGTGAGGACATGTTGACTGGTGTAAAATTCCTTGGGAAGATAAGAATGAAGAAAATTCTGCAGAAAAGTATTCCTTAGCATTATCAGAGTGAATAGTTGAAAAGGAAAAATTACATCGCATCTCATACTTTTTAGGATAGGAAGATCTAACATGTTTTCCTAACTGACAAGACTCACAATCTAAGACTTGAATGTGTTTGAGACTTGGAACCATCATCCTCAACTTGGATAAGCTTGGGTGGCCCAACCAATTATGCAAAAGTTTTGGGGATGAAGTTGCAAAACAGGAAACTGAGGAGTTAGGTTTTAAAAAATAAAGTCCTTGTGACTCATGTCCTTCTCCAATCAGACGACCCGTACCATGTTCCTGCATAACAAAGGAATTAGCAGAAAAGGTTACAAAACAATTTAAGGAACGAGTTAATTGACTCAAAGAGATTAAATTGTAAGGACAATGAGGAATATACAAAACAAAATTCAATTTTAGTGAAGGAGATAGGAAAACTTTTCCAATTCCCTGAGATGCAACTTTGGATCCATTGGCAACAATAATGAAATGAGGAGTTTTCGGAGAGGACATGGAAGAAAATGAATGGATGTTATCAAAGATATGATCTGAGGCACTTAAGTCAAGAATCCACAGATTGAGAGATGTAAGCAGTTGACACATTTGGCATTGAGGAGGATTGGCCAAGATTAGAAGATTTCTCAGACTTGTACCTCAAAAACTCTTGGTACTCTTCATCAAAAGTTCTAGATTCTGAATTATCAGATTTAGACACATGAGCAGCTTTGTCTGGAAAGCCATGCAAGGAATAATATTTATCTTGGGTATGACCCATTCTCTTACAATATGAGCATTGAGGACGTCCACTTCGACCACCACGTCTACCTGCTCCTCTTCCTCGTGGTGTCACCATTGCTGATGTTTCAATAGCATCACTTAAATTCTTGTCTTTTACCAATGTAGGTACCTGAAGGAGTCGAGTAACTAAGCCATCCATCGACGATATTTGATCACCAGCTAAAACTTGATCACGTACATGATCAAAATCAGGGTGTAAACTTTTCAAAATTAGGACCATGTAAAACTTGTCAAGCTTTTTGTTGAGATTTTCTAATGAATCTGCTACAAAGAAGTTCTTTAACTCTTCTACCGCAGCCCGAGCTTTTGCTATATGGGAAACCATATCATGGTTGACTTGTTTGAGAGAAGTTGCTCTTTGGGTTGCATCGAAAAGACGTTGTACATCATTAGTAAAAATATCTTGGGCCCTTTTCCAAAAAGAGGAGCATGTCTTATAGGGTCTCAAGATATCTAGAACCTCTTGCTCAACCGATTGCCACAAAACAGCACATAACTAAAAGTCTAATTTCTGCCACTGAGATTTTTCTTCATCTTGGGACCATAGAAATATCTTGTTCAAGGTGATTATGGTGTCCTTGACCAAGAAACCACAATTCCACAGTAGAGGACCATGATAAATAATTTTTCCAATTCAGTTTTGCAGATGTAATGATAGGGGTGGCAGAGAAAGAGGAATTAATTCCAGTAGAAGAGGCCATTTTAAAACTGTGAGAAGAAATGGGACTTAGGGTTTCAAAAACGTGAGGGAGGAAACCCTAGGTATGAGCCCAAGCCTACGAAACGGAGAAACAAGAACCAATACACACTCAAGGAGCCCTAGAGAGACGATATGGAGTGACGTGGTGCAACTCCGACACCGGGAAGGCGGTGTGTGCGGAACACGCGGCTGAGACTGGCCGGAAAGAAAGCGGCGCGTGGCGGCTGGTGCGGAGGCTTCAAAGGACGGGACCACCAGGGTTGGGTTGCGCTTCTCAAGGCGCACCTAACCCTTGACTTCGCTGGAGAAAGCGACGCTTGGCGGTGGTGGCAACGGCGGCGGCGGACAGCGGATCGAACGGTGGAAATGACAGAGACGATGCCGCCCACAATAGACAAGAAGACACGGTTTGGCTCTTGATATCAACTTGAAGAGTTGAGAGATGATGAAGAGTCTTATATTTTTTCACTTAGAAAGCCTAATTCAAACTTACTACTGTATTTATAGGAGACAATAGTTCTGAAAAGTAAAAGGGTGGGAAACCCCTAACAAAGCCCTAACATAAATATTAATAATAATAAAGGCACTATACTTCAACAATGGCATAGTGTGCTGTAACACATCTATGATGAGCTTATCAAGTTTGTGCTTCGTAATTTATCAGGAGGCCAGATTATTGTCTTGGGCCTCACTTGCGCCAAATGCTTTCTTATGGTTGTACACGATTGGAGATTGGAGTCCAAAGCACCTATGAGGATGTTGCTCGAGACACAAACAGAGGACACACTGTAGCTGCTGTAGCTGATTGCTTTTGCTTGGCTAAAGATGCTGGTTTCAAGGTTTCTTACTCTTATTTAAATCTATACATTCAGTAAAAAGCATAACTTTGTCCTGACCAACCATTCCCGTATGTGTCTCTGCTGCATCTTTTTTATACCAATATATTGATACATATTTCTAGTCATGTATTTTGAATCAACTTTTACTGCCTCATCATATTTGTATAGATTATAACTGGAACAAGTTTTAGATAGATTTATTAATATGATAAGTCAACTTAGGCGCTACAAATATTTGATATTTCTGTAGTTGTATTTCCTTTTATATCGTGGACTAGGTTAGTCATGTCTCATGAATTTTATCCAATTTTCCCCTTTTGTCATTTGGTTTATGCTTATTTTCTCCGGCTTTTGCTTTAGGTTGTTGCTCACATGATGCCTGATCTTCCAAATGTTGGCGTTGAGAGGGACATGGAAAGTTTTCGGGAGTTTTTTGAGAGCCCCTTGTTTAGAGCAGACGGGCTTAAAATATATCCTACACTTGTAATTCGTGGAACAGGGCTTTATGAGCTCTGGAAAACTGGCAGGTATTTCAAATATTTATTTTTATTGGACTACTTCGTTTCCAGAACTTTTTAATTTTTCTCTTTTTTCTTTAAAAAATTAAACTGTTCTGTAGAAGATAAAAAGAATCATCACTAAAATTGTAGGTACAGAAATTATCCACCAGAGCAACTTGTGGACATCATAGCAAGGATCCTTGCAATGGTTCCACCATGGACACGTGTTTATAGAGTGCAGCGGGATATTCCTATGCCTTTGGTTACCTCCGGGGTTGAGAAAGGGAATTTGAGGGAGCTAGCATTAGCTCGAATGGAAGACTTGGGATTGAAATGCCGTGATGTTCGGACCAGGGAAGCTGGAATCCAGGTTATTGTGCAGAGCTGATTTTATTTGGGAATTTTGTGTAAAAAGACTGCTGACACAATTTATTTTCTGATACCATTTTGGAGCACCGACAAACATTTTCTATCTCTCTGTAGGATATTCACCACCAAATTAGGCCAGAGGAGGTGGAGCTTGTTCGGCGTGATTATATGGCAAATGAGGGTTGGGAAACATTTCTATCATATGAAGATACACGACAAGTAATTTGATCTCCCTTCCTTTTTCTTTGTTGCTTGTGCCTTTTTCCCTCTTTAATTGTGAATCAAGTGGTGTCTCAACCTGTTGCCCAAACACAGCAATGACCTTGAGCGAACTCTGTTCTTGCAAACAGGATATCCTTGTTGGTTTGTTGCGTCTGCGAAAATGTGGCTGCAATACTACATGTCCAGAGCTTATGGGGAAGTGTTCAATTGTTCGTGAACTCCACGTTTATGGGANTATATATATATATATATATATATATATATATTTTCGGCTTCTACAAATATTCTTTCCTTTTACATATTTTAAAAAACATTATATTATATTAATGATGAAAATACACGCGTGTCCAATTATTTTATAATAAAAATAAAAATTATTATTATTATGAAAATAAACATAAATAAATTTTATAATTTTAGTAGTTTTTATTTAAGAAGGATAATTATTTTAGTTTACAAAATGGTTAAAATGATCAAATTAAAAATAAATTTTAAATAGAATCATTTATAGAACAAAATTATTAAAATAATTATTTAAATTTAGAAAAGCTATTATTTGAAAATAAAATTGGTAAAAAATGTGTACACTAAAAAAAATAATCATTTTTATACAATGATATAGGTACAAAATGATATATATTAGTGAAAATATATGCATGTATATATTTTTTTTGTTTTTATGATAAGAAAGAATTATATTTTTATAATTATTAAAGAATATAATCCATGTAAATGATTTTTATAATTATATTATAGGTAAATAATTAAATATTAAAAAATAATTATATTATTTAAACATTAAAATAATAAAATAATTTATACTAATAAAGATAAATTATTTAAAAAATATATATACACAAAAAATAATTATAAAGCGATAGAAAAACCATTCTTTTTCTTAACTGTTATAGATTTATTAAAAGTTATAAATATAATACTGTTATTAGTGGTTTCAAGTAATGATTTAACATTTTTTAATCAATGTCATATAATATTAAACCTAAAATATAGACTTAAATTAAACAAATTGATACAAGCACCTGTTATTATGAGAATTAACTTCAAGTGGAAAGAGAAGGGTTTGCGAAATAGCTTACCGTTGCACTCCTAAAACCTCGTAACTGCATTCGTTTGGGTTTTCCCTGTGTCTATGGCGGCGGTGGTGGAGGCGAGGAAGGCCCCGCGGCCGGGAAAGGGCGGTTACGAAGCGCATGGCCTGAGCGAGGAAGAAGCGCGTGTTCGAGCAATCGCGGAGATCGTGGGCTCCATGGTAGACCTCTCCCACAAGGGCCAGAACGTGGACCTCAACGCGCTAAAGTCCGCAGCGTGCCGCAAGTACGGCCTCGCACGCGCGCCTAAGCTCGTGGAGATGATAGCCGCGCTCCCCGATGCGGAGCGCGAAACTCTCCTCCCCAAGCTCCGCGCCAAACCCGTGCGCACCGCCTCCGGAATCGCCGTAGTTGCCGTCATGTCCAAACCGCACCGCTGCCCGCACATCGCTACCACCGGGAACATCTGCGTTTACTGCCCTGGCGGTCCCGACTCCGACTTCGAGTACAGTACTCAGTCCTACACCGGTTACGAACCAACCAGCATGCGCGCGATTCGTGCGAGGTAGGGTTGTGGTGCTGTTGTCTTTTAGTTTAGGGTAAATTGGAATGTTTCAGGGTTGATATTTGAATTAGTTTTATAATTAGGCTCGAGGTTCGTAGATTGTTAATTGAGCATTTTGATCGGTAAACCAGTTGTTGCCTGTGTGTTTCATCGTCAAGAATAGCTGATTGAAATTAGAATGGTCGTTTGGAGACATTAGACATGGTTTTTGTAGTTAAATTAGTTCGTGAGTGTGTATTTCGTTCTTCAAATAATTAGTAAGTGACCTAAAGTTATTTTAACCAACAAAAAACACATCTAGGGGTATCAAACTTAAATAATTATTAAATCTATGTATGCTTGTGTAATCATTAAGTCTAAAGAAGGGAGTAGTGTGTTGAGAAATCTCTCCCAACTGTACCTAGTTCTGTGCCTAGCAGTGTAGGACAGTACTTTGATCTTTGAAATCCCTATTGATCTTTGAAATCCCTACTGTATCAGATCGTTATCATTATAAATAGATAAACATTGGAGGGTTCTTTTAAGCCCTCCAAATTATATTTTCTCTCTGTTTTTAATCTTAAGTCAAACATGTGGATTTTGTCGTCGAAACTATGTTGGCCAAGCTTAAGGGGCTTTTAATCTAGTTTTCACGTTATTAGATTACTTTTACTATTTCCTAAGATATTAATTCAATTAGAACCAACATGGTATGACATGGCTGACCTATAACCTTGTTTTTTAAGTGTATTTTCGGAGTTTGATTCCTTCTACGAATAAACATATGTTGGTATAAGACAAAAATGGATCTCAATTAGAGCTGTCAAAACGGATTACCCGCCTGACTCGGTCCGGTCCACCAATCAACCCGACTCATTTATTAGCAACCAAAAAATTCGAATCCGGCCCGACCCACCACGGGTTGGTGGATAAACGGGTTGCCTTACTGGATCACTTAATTACAATTTTTTTTAAATAAAAAAATTACAAACTTTCTATAATTCAAATCTAAACAAATTTCACTCTCAAATTTCACTCCCAACGTGGGTGTTTAATTAATTTTGAAAATAAGGAACTTAAATAATTTTTTCAAGCAAAAAAATATTTTTTTATAAAATTAAAATTAAATTTTAATAAAATAAAATTAGGTAGTTGGGTTGGTGGACCAACTCGGCCCACTACGGTTCAACCCGCATGAGCCGGATTGAAATCTGATCCGCATAAAAAAAAATACAATTTTTCAAACCCAACCCGACTCGAACCTGTGGTAAATCGGGTTGAACCGCAGGTTGTGACCCATTTTGAGAGCTCTAATCTCAATCAATGTTGTCAATATCATGAGTAAACTATCAAACTCGCTCTATCCTGCGAGTAGGGAGGAGGCTGCTAGCTAATGCGAGCATAGGATCAAGGTGGTGCAGTTTGCGATGAGAATGGGATGCTGCTCGCCAAAATGAGGGATCCTCGCAGATGCTGCCTTCAAAGTCACGCCCTTTGTTCCAGTCACTCTACTGTCCTGCTATCTCTTTTGCTTGTGCTGTTCTGCTCTCTCTTTGATTCTTCTACTGTTCTCCTCACTCTGTTTTTTCTTCAAATTCTAAAGAACAGAGGACTATTTTTAGCTGTAAACAGGATCCCACTACCTAAGACTTATTATGGGTTATTTTTTTTTCATCTATATTATTTTTAATGCATGGACACTTTTATGAAAATAAATTTTTGTATATTTGTAAGTCATATCAGTTGAGTTACGATCTTTTATCCCCTTTTTGATCCTCTTACTAGACTTGAGTTTGATAAAATTGATATCAGTACCTCATAGGATTAGGTTTTGACTCTTCACTGGGATGCAAATACACTAGAATGACCGAAAAATATTGCAAAATGTGACGATTATAATTTTAAATTAGACATCTAATGACTTGAACATCACTGTTTGGGGAAAATTTAGGGGCTAATTTTTTGCATTGTGGAACTTGAACTAGGTATAATCCATATGTTCAGGCAAGGAGCAGGATAGATCAGCTTAAGCGTTTGGGTCATAGCGTAGACAAGGTTTGGAGCTCATTTTCGTATCTCTTGAATATTCCAATTCAAGTGCATGAAATTAGTGTAGATGTACTGTTTAAGTTTCTTATAATTATGGTCATTGTTTTCAGGTTGAGTTTATATTAATGGGTGGTACCTTCATGTCTCTTCCAGCTGATTACCGTGATTACTTTATAAGAAATCTTCACGATGCTTTGTCTGGGCATACTTCTGTCAATGTGGAAGAGGCAGTAGCTTACTCTGAGCATGGAGCAACCAAATGTATTGGCATGACAATTGAAACGTAAGTTGTCTTTTAAGTAATTACATCTGCATTAAATGTGAATGTTTTGAGCCTTGGTCTGCTGGTCATGTGCAGTTGTAAATGAATGATGTTCATTTGTCTTTTCTTTTGGTTAATATAAATAATACATCTTTTGCAGATCAACAATTTTTTGTGCAGCGATTAAAATGATATACTTAATATGAAAAGTTATCACTCAGACAGACTGTGTTATGAAATTTCTAGGGTGTTTCTGCATTTCTTGTTTGAGCATATCTGTAATTAAGTTAGTGGAAACATATTGGGAAATCTACATGGCACTTGAAGAGTTAGAGAAGATGAAGAGTCTTATATTTTTTCACTTAGAAAGCCTAATACAACTTACTACTGTATTTATAGGAGACAGTAGTTTTGAAATGTAAAAGGGCGGAAAACCCCTAACAAAGCCCTAACATAAATATTAATAATAATAAAGGCACTATACTTCAACACTCCCCCTCAAGCTGGAGCATATATATCATATGCACCAAGCTTGGAACATATAAATTGAATTCTAGGCCCCCTTAGAGATTTGGTGAGAATGTCTGCGAGTTGTTTATTAGAGTTGACAAACTCAGTAACAAGATCCTTTGACAATAACTTCTCTCTAATAAAATGACAATCAATCTCTATGTGTTTTGTTCTTTCATGAAACACTGGATTGGAGGCAATGTGAAGGGCGGCTTGATTGTCACAGTACAACTTCATCTGCTCATTTTCACAAAATTTCAACTTTTGAAGGAGTTGTCTAATCCACACAAGTTCACATGTAGTTAGAGCCATAGATCGATACTCAGCTTCAACACTAGATCGAGCAACAACACTTTGTTTCTTACTTTTCCAAGATACAAGGTTCCCTCCAAGTAAAACACAATATCCTGTGGTAGATCTTTTGTCAATTGGACAACTAGCCCAATCTGCATCACAATATCCCTCAACTTGAGTACTTCCCTTGTCCTCATACAACAATCCTTGTCCTGGGTTCCCTTTTACATATCTGAGAATGCAAATCACTGCATTCCAATGATCAACATGTGGATTTTGCATAAATTGACTCACAACTCCCACCGGATAAGAAAGATCAGGTCTTGTTATGGTAAGATAGATAAGTTTTCCAACAAGCCTTCTATATCTGGGTTTAAGAAAAGTTCACCTTGGTCTTTCATTAACTTTTGATTAGAGTCCATAGGACTATCAATAGGCTTGCAATTTGTCAGGCTTGTTTCCTCCAAAATATCAAGAGCATATTTTCTTTGTGAAATGATGACACCTTCCTTTGGTTGTGCCACTTCA